CTTAGATCTTTTTCACTAGTTGCAGTTAATGCAGCCATAATTCCTGTTATTGTTGTACCTATATTTGAACCTAATGTAAATGGATAAACTCTTTCGATTGTTATTATACCAAGACCAACTAATGGTGTTAATGTTGATGTAAATATTGAACTACTTTGAACTAATATGGTTAATATACATCCAACCTATTCAATTAGATAAATTTTTTTTTCAACGAAAAAAAAAACGAATTATTTTCTTACAAGAATAGCTAAATATGGTGTTAGATGTTTGAATATTCCAGGAAAATCTGTATTAACTATTTTGAAAATAATATTTTTGACTGTTCCTTTGAGTAATGACTGAAGAATTTTCACAAGTAAAAAAAGGCATAGACAAAGACAAACTAATGAAATAATTAGTAAAACAAGTCCAATAAGCCAATCAGCCCAGTTAACTTTAGCAAATAAAAATGGACAATATTGATCTGGAACTTTATTAAATGTTCCATTATCACTTTCATTTTTATATGAACAATATCTTTTTAATAAGGAGATATTTGCACTAGCATTACCTAATGCTATACTTTCAATTGCTTTTTTATCAAGCTAATAAAAAACAAAAATTTCTTCTTTTTAGAAAGTTTCTATTTTAAATAACATACTAGAACAATTCTCTCAGTTAATGGTTTTGTAATAACAGTAAGAAACTCAGGATTAGAGTTTGGATTTCGTTTTAAGTTTATTGATTTTGTAATTAAGCGAGTTAAATGATATAACATATCTAAATTTCTTCTAATTAGAATATTATCAAAAATAAAAATAATAGTTTACTCGAAGCTATTTCAATTGGTAATAAAACGAGTACACTTAACCAATTGAACATATCATGAACAGTTGCGCCAGCAAATGCAAGACTAAATTCTTCACGTTTTCCCTAAGAACAAATGTAAATTGTGCTTTAGTCTTGTTAATCATAAAATACAAACTGATTGTGTTAAAGCAACTAATGTATTGGTTACAGATGTACCTTTTAAACAAAAATATATTTAGAAATTTACCTCTGATTAGCATTTATCAAGAAAATACCTATATTTGCTCCTAAAACAATAGAAGAAATGAGCAAATTTCAAGTTCGATTAGCTTCAATATAATCTTACCCATAATGATTGGTATGGCTTGTTTAACAGGTAAAACTAAAATTTTTTTCAAGTAAAAATATAATGTGTAAATGAATGAAAACGTACTAGAAGATGAAACCATTGATACAACAATTGATGTTGATGTTGATGAACTTTGTACAAGAACCGTTGCTAATAATCCAATCATTAAACCCGCAATAGGATTGGAAAGAATTGCTCCTTCAGCAAAAACTTTACCTGTTATTTTACCTAATGAAAAATATTTATTTATAGAGAATTTGTATATTTTGAAAATAATGTGTAACCTCCAATAAGTCGAAAAGCTGAACTCATTAAATCAAGTGAACAAACAAATAAATATAATAAAGCAAGTAAACCAATTATTCGTAATATTAAGGTCAAGATTGATTTAATCCGATCATTTCGACTCATGTCTAAATAAGGAAAATAGATGGAGAAAACAACAAATTGTTGTGAATACCTTTCCATTTTTGTTGCTCGTTTGAATTTTGAGGTTGAGCAA